CTGCTGAACTCTTCTGGTCTGAAGCTGCTGAGCTCATACATATCATTCACATTTTTCATCCTCATTTTTCTCTGTTGCGTTATCTGATTGAGAAACAAACATTTTCAATCTCAAAACTTCAATGAGCAGTGCTCCTTCATTTATATGTAATATTGCTCCCTGACCTGCTTTGCCTTCCTCAACAGTAGGTAATGAGGAACAATTTAATCAGGATACCGTATATGTACTGGATTGAAGCACTACAAGTTTCCCAATTCCTTGTTGTACTGTGTATATACCAGCTTTTAATAGGATGACCAAACTGATCTTCCTGAACTTCATTTTCATTATGAAGCTTCCAAAAGAGACTTTTTGCTAACGCTGCTTATAATATTCTTCTAATGCAGCTGTAAAATCTGGTGCTCAGTTGATGGTTTATCGAGTTCACCAATTGATGAGCACTTGAACAATGTTACTGGAAGCTCACCATTTTCTATTGTTAAGCGCAAATGTAGCTTTCTTTGTGTTTTTAGCTCTGTACATACTGTATAAGTGTATATATGTATAATTTATATTCTGTAAAATGTTTCAAACATGCCATTTTGAAGGAACTCTGCTACAAAATGTATCTTCTCCTGTCATTTCATTTTAATACTGAGTAGAAGTTGGGAGAAGCTGAACTCAGGTCTCCAAAATTTGAGTGAACTTCATTTCACTGCTATAAAACAAGGTTGTAACCACTTGAAAGTGAATTTTGCATCATGAATCTGTACTTTCATCCAGTAAAGGTATCAGTCCTGAGAAGTCAGGCCAGAGCCTCTAAGGTTGTGTTTGGTTTCTTCATCCTCTCAAAATCAGACTGGCTCTTAGTTGAATATCATACTTCTCAGCTCAAATAGATGATCCAGTTAATATATACTCATACATATAAATATATATGCACATTATCTCCAGCGAATAAGATCTTTCACTGAAGACTTTGAAAGAGAGATTTGCAGGGAGATCTGCTTAGACTAAAGTATTGCCCTTTCTTATCTGCCTGTGTTACGCCAGCTAGTGTAAGTGCTGCTTGGTAATTTCTGTCAAGAGAAACAGATTTTCAAAAATCGTGACTATATTTTCTCAACAGGGGAAACTCCACAAATTACAAATTCTTCCAAGTGGCTGTGTTTCAAGATGCGGTCCTAACATAGAACCAGGCTGGCACTGTTGTTTTGGACCAGATCAGCTTGTTGACTGAGGACTATACCAATCCCACTGGCTGGCAATCCCTATCATAGTGTTGCTTGTTGTTCGTTAGACTTCAAACTGTTGTTTGTCAGACTTGTTAAAGGTTTCAGCTAAGGACCCAAGGAGGAGAGCTTTCTAGCTCTGTAATTGTTTTTATAATTTTTCTATGAACCTACCTTCAGAAAGATATTGGAAATGCTAGCACTTAAGCTGGAAGGCCTGTGTACTTGTGTTCCTTATGGACAATTTAATCTTTAACTTTTGTCCTTACACCATACAATTGTCTTCAGATGTTGACCAGCCTTGTACTTCCATATTGCTGCCCTGGGATTCTCTATAGGAATAGGGCTGGAGGGCTTGATATGGACCCAGTTATAGATCTGTGTATGGCAGGCTCATTCATTGGGGAAAGGAGCAAATACAGAGCATCTCAAAGAAGCACTTAGTTCTAGCCAGGAAGATGGACTTCATGTTACCTGGGTGCTGTTTGGTGTTTGTGGAAGAAGCAGAGCTCTGTAGCATTCCTGTCAGAGGGGAAGGTGCTGCCAGAGGCTTCATTTCAGTTGTGAAAGGTGCCTAGATTCTTAAGAGTGTGTGTGATGTATGTAAATGTATCTAAAGAGGCCTATAGTGGAATCTTTTAGGATATACTAAATATTGTATAGTTATAGGTTCCTGACATCAGTTTTCTCTTGAGGTTGGTGTTTGGTTGAGAAAACACAGAATCGTGTTATGGAAGACTGTTGTCGCAGCATCACGGGTCTTTTATTATACCCTGTATTACAAAAGTCTTTAAACAAATTGTGTACAGTTTTGTCATTCAAGTGCACAGGCTGGATGCTTAGCGATCCAGAAATAAAGTAACAGGCCAGATAGATAACTTTCCTTTCAGGTCAGCTTTGTTGGTCAAGATGACTGTCTAAAATCCTTCCCGTGCAGCACTGATGCGCCTAGTATTACTGGGCACTTGAGATGACCTTTAGACTCTTTATATGCCTTGATAGTTCTTGTTGTCTTTCACATCTGGTCATTTTTTTTTCTTTTTTTCTCTAAATGTCTGACTTTATTATCATTCCACTTGAACGGAAGAATGGTCCTTTTAGGGAGGAATGTGCTGCTGTAACTCTCCTTCTCTCTTCCCCCTGCTCACTCTTTATCTAACCACCATAGTAAATTTTGTAGACCCTTTTCTACTACAAACATATGCTTAAAGACTTGGCTGACCACAGCATCTGTTCTGAGGACTAAAATAGAGATAGTCAAGATCCATCCATTTCCTGGTAAGTGACAAATCAGGGATTTACCTCTAGTGCCCTTTCCTGCCTGTTGTACGGTGCTTGCCATATGTACGTGCTATGAAAGTGTAGCAGAAATAACTGTTTTGTGGTACCGTTTGATAGGAACATCGCAGGATGGAAAGTTCATTTAAGGCCCACATTCATGTTGTCAGTCAGCACCCCAGTATATTTAAGGTTAGGTCAGGCCTGTAACATCCCTCCGAGGGGTTTACATTCAACATGTTTCACTAGAAAGCACGTGCTTTCACGTCACTTAAGTCTGCTCTCCTGAGTGTTTTTTCTTTCTAGAGGATGCTGTTTCAGTGTCCAAATTTCTAGTACCTGCTGATCTCAGGGAATGCCAGTTTGTGTCCCACCTCCCCATGAGTAAAAGTTGATGACTTGCTCCGATATCTGTCTGGCCTTCCTTCTCAGGAGGCTTCTACATGCTTTCAGTTTACGGGATTTGTAATATCACAAGCAGGTCAGGGCAGTGGTTATTCCAGCTCAGCTACATTCTGCAGCTTTTCTAGTAGCCTGTTTAGATGCTTTCAGAAAATGAGGCCTTTCCCTTCACAAAAATCTCAGAGCTTAGATAGGATTTTGAAGTACAGGGCCAGAATCCTGTCTGGGGTAAGCAGCCATAGCTCTGCTAATTTCTAATGGATCTGTGTTGAGTTGCACCAGCTGAACATCTGGTCCACAGCTTGAAGAACCAAAGCCATTAACCCCTCCCCTGTCAGACACACTGGCCTGAGCATTATGCATCTGAAAATGTAAATACCTCAGGCTAGAGTTAAGCTGAATTCTTTTTCTGAAGCCATATTTGCTTTGTGTTTCTGTTAGTCATGATTTTATTTTGTGAGGAGAGACTCATTCGTGCATTTTTATGCATCAGGCTGTGTTGCGCTTTCAGAGAGAGCTTGCTCTGAAAGAGTTAATAATTTCAACCTGGTTTTGGCTGGAATGAAGAAACTGGTTCCTCTGTGTCCCTGCTTTCTGTTCTCTTGTTGGCCTACTTCCCTCTGCTTGCATTTTGCATTCCTAATGCCATGAATAAATCGGGACCCAAGGATTTAGAAGGTGGTACAGCTGTAGCCACTCAGAAAACTGAACCTCTGAGGCTTGTACTGCAGCTCCAGCAACTGGCGATATGTGTGCTCCTGAACTCTTCTAATAACGTTTAACTGGTACCAAAATAACATTCGCTTTGCCCTTTTTATATAATGCTTAAGATTTTTGTGCCTCTACCCAGTGTCTCCTCACTTGGTCCCCTTTGTCTTTTAGTTAAGCTCAGTTATGAGCCCTTTCGGGCAGGGCAGTCGCCTCCCGGCTGCTGTGACAAAATAGTTTATCACAAATACTTGCACAGAGGAGAGAAGAATAAGGGAAACTAAGGAATCTCACCTAGCTAAGGGTTCATCTTCTCTACAGAATCACAACACGGTGAAACTCCTCTCTAGTTGTGGTCCTAGATCCTCTGATAACTTGCCATTAATAATACACACTGGACTGCTTTTATTTGTAGCGCTGTGACTCCTGAGGGAGTGTGTGAGGGAGAGCGTAATGTGCTCTTTAGTCAGAGGATACATCCACTCTGGGTGAAGAGCAACAGGCGTTGGTAACAAGCTTGCACTGGAGGATGAACATCTTGAAAGAACAAAGTCTTCAGGTATTTTCTTCCAGGAAAGGTGATTTATATTGTACTGATAGCTTTCCCTCGTTATGGCCCTGCTTTTTAGAATAAAAGTAATGATTTTGGTCTGAAGATGGTTTGCTTTCACCAAACTTTGCTTTTGACTAAGAAGGTATTTTATGACCTTCTTAGCATATGGTGACGTGGTTTTTGGCACAGGATTCGTGAGATCTGTATCTGGCTGTTAGACCTGCCTGATTAACTCCCAAATAATTATAGTTGGCAAGGGAGATATTGAAGTACAAAAATGATGTTTGGTAAAGTGCTTATCTTGTGATGCTGCTTCAGACTCTGCTTCTCAGTTTCCTGTCTTATAGAATCCTTTAGGTTGGAAAAGACCTTTAAGATCATTGAGTGTTGTAAGAGTAAAAAGTCTGCATAGCGGAGGGCGAGATTTAAAAAAAGAAAAGGCCTTGGTTATTTTGGCATCTAATTTCCATTTTCAGTCTCATTACAGTCTTGCGCAAATGTAGAAACTGAAATGCTTTGTCTTCAAAAAAAGCTGCAGGTACCATACCCAGGCTCTAAATACTATTTTCACCTTGACGGCATTTAGAAATCTGTATGCTCAGACGTGATCCCATTCTGCAGCTTAATGAGGAAACATGCATCAGGCAAGCTTTGGTACCTGCCAGAAATGTGACACAAAA